TGGACTTTGGCCCTTGTCAACATCTGAGCTGTCCTCACTGCTACCAATACTGCCTTTGTAACCTCCATTGAAGATCATGGCTTCTCTCCTCCAGTTGTAGTAGGTTGACCTGGAGATCCCTGGGAAATTTCTTTTGAAGATCCTGAAGGGAAGGGAGGCGTTCATGGCAATGCAATTTTGCAGACAACGCTTGGCTTCCTGCATATGAGCCACATTCTGGGCCCGCTCCAGATCCAGCTTGCCGAGGCCCAGGCCAAACATACTGGCCACGCTATCATGGTGGTCTGGCTCGTCCTGCTTTGCTTCAGGTGAAGACCAGGCTTCCTGTTCTGTGCTCTCTCCAGGACTGATCTCCCCAGTTGATGAAGAGGTGGAGAAGTTTCCTCCGGTTTTCAGAAGCTCGTGCTTCCAGTTGTAATAAGATGACCTTGAGATTTCTGGGAAAAACTCTTTGAACTGATGCAGAGGGATGAGCTTGCCCTCCAAGTAGCAGGCCTGCAGGAAATACTTTGCCTCATACCTGGCTGCTGACTTTTTGCAGTGCTCCTGCGTCTGCCTCTTCCAGCGATAGAAGGTCCTCTTAGTGATGTTGTACTTGTCCTTCAGACTCGGGTAAGAGAACTGCGATTCCTGGTTCAGCAGCTCCTCACTCATGATCGGCAACTCACTCTGCTCGCTATCAGGGCTTCCAAACGTGAGGTCACTTGTCTGGACTAGTGCAACAAAATGATTGGGCCTGAACAACAACTCAGACTGCAGCTCGCCAGACCACATAACATGGAGGGTTAGTGGCTCAGAGTCATTAGGCCAGGTCCTTGGGCGTATTACACGGTTGAAATAGGGTCGGATCTTGAGGTTGAACATGGGGTAGATGGAGTAGATGTTAAACTGCAGGACTGAAGAAAGGGCATACACGTGCCACATGTTGGCATAGGAGCCAGGGAAGCAGGACGCTTTGACATCGGCATCAAAGATTGCCTCCAAGACTGTGACAGGCAGGTTGAGCATGTCCTCAGACTCTTCAGCACAGAGACTGAAGCGAACAGCCTGAAGCATCATTTTTGAATCAATCATTCCAGACAGGTAGTATCTCTTCCACAGCACCATTTCTACCACTGTCCGTACCTGTGGGGGGCAATATTAATGAAGTTAATATTACACATTGCACATATAAACAGCCAGATATAGTCTGTATTGATGTTTTAAGTGCAACAGTATACATTTAGACCAAGATTATGAATCATCACTGCTCACCTGTAGCTCCAAGCTAAGTTCAGTGTTGCCCACTAACAGCATGCTAACTGCATCAAACAGTAGGTTGCCCTCTCCCTTGCAGTTTATAGGCAAGAGGTCCGCGGGTGCGTCGGCTGGGTACAGTCCATGAGCCATGTCGTCCACACCCGCCCACTTAGGGAAATCCTGACAGGGGGTCATGGGGAGCTGGAAGGGAGCTAGGACCTGGTCCACCTCCAGAGCCGCTCGGGTTAGAGCATCTAGGCCAGAGCTCTCTGTGGCCTCCTGGAGCTCCCCCAGAACTGACAGCACGACCTCCTTCCTCTGAATCATATCTAGTATGATGAGAGCTGGAGGGAAGACAGAGGAACAAAAGTTTAAAATAGTGGATCTGGAGACGGAAGCTCCATAAAAACAGGCCAATTTTGATAAGTTTAGTCATGGAACACCCTCAATAGGCTTAGGGAATGTGCTCATACCTTTGATACCAGTAGACTAGATTATGTCGATTACTGTGGTCTATCCACTTGCACACAACAGCTGCAGCTTAATTAAATGCTGGTGCAGTTTTTACTAAAAAATAAACACATTTTACTCACTTACTGCACTGGTTTAATTTCTGCACAATGAAAAATTAGATACGCTACTTTGTTGCAAGTGTTTTAACAAATGCAACACCATGGCTGTGTTTAAGGTTAGGTATTAAAAACACTGAAGCATTTAAAATATGTTTCCCTAATTGCAAAGTAGCTGCAAAATGAGCCTACATTACTCAATTGCTGTGAATAAAATAAAACTAATTCAAAGTCATTATCAACAATAGTAAGGCCTCTACTTTGTGCAGGCGCCCGGATTGTGCGATTGTGTTAAGTCTCTCCGTAATTTATTCGTCCTGTTTCTGTAACTCCAAACACTTAATTGAACTTTCGAAGTTAAAATGAAGTTTCTATCAATTAGCGCCTTAACTTAAACACAACAACAAACCAACGCGCATCTGGATAAGAGCAACAAATTACTTTTCGTTATATCAAAGCAAAACAACATTGGAAACAATTATTCTCTTACCTGAACGTCCAGACTTAAAAAAACAAGGAGACTCAAAGGAAGTCCGTTGTTTGTAGCGGAGGGTTTCACAGCTGATAATGTTGACCTCTCTCGTGGGGCTTTAGTCCATTGTGTGCGTGCAGCTCCAGAGTGTCCTGTGCTCCGGTGCGCAGAGGAGATATTGGGGAGTGATAACAGCACCTCCCTTCAGGAAATTGTTAATCGTCGATTCGCTTTTTTTTTTTGTCTCTGTGTCGAGAAACACCTCCTCCCCTCTCTCCCCCCTCCCTCCCCCTCCTCCAGTAGACTGCAGCCAGGGTCAATTTCAATGTGAAGTGTTAACAAAAGCCAATGTGTCACGGGCCATAAGAATACAGAGGCAAGTCTTGTAGGTTAAAAGGTGTTGTTGCTTTTAGGTTTTAGCAACACATTGTTGTTGTTGTTTTGTTTTGTGTTGCTTTTTTTTTTGTTGTTGTTGCTTTTCCTTTGTCAAAGCCAACTCCAGATGTCAACAGTTCACTTTCAAGGTTATTTGTCAAGTGCTCTCAGGGAGTAAAAGTCAGGGTTATTTCTCTTCTCATGAATAAACCGCCCCTCCTCTCATGTGGCTGCACAAAAACATACTTTACCAGAAGTTTACTTTATTTGTTTGTTTTACTCGGTTTAATCTTTTTCTCAATGCAATAATACATTTTTTTTAAAACTCTGAAACTTTACAGTAATGAACTTGCTTTTTCTATCACAATTTCCATGCATTGAATTTAGTATTTATTCTTCAATCTGTGCTATAGAGATAGTGTCGAGGCCGGTTTGTGGATTAGGTTGAATATGTGCAGACAGGGTGTGGACATGAGCTTTATGAGAGGAAAGGAGGGCTCCTGAGCTCCAGGTCTGCTTGTTTCTCCACTGTATCACTTTTAACACCTCCTCTCCTGCCTTTTGCAGGATTTCAGTAATCAAGGCCTTTTGTTCCACACACGCACAACAATCCCAGCCACTGTCCCCAACCCCCACTGTCCTCTACTGTAGACCCCGACCCTATGGCTTTTTTACCCACAAACACACACTCACACATCAGGGGACAGTGGCATTTGGCCCCCACTGCTCTGTCCACTCCAAGCACTTGGCAGACAAGCTGGTGCCTGAGTTCACTGGGGTTCAAGGCTTTGACCTAAAGCTTATCCGTTATTTGAACAATGTGTGCGTGTGTGGGGGTTTACAAAAGAATGGTAGAATTTTAGAACTTTTGGTTTGTATTTCAGGCACTGCAAGCTGAAATAATGTAGATACTCACTTGTTAAAAGGTGTGGTAATATGTGTGTGAATAAAAAGTTCTCTCTCTTGACAAAGAGCTTCCGGAACTTGCTGTCTTTCACCTAAACTCCTTCAGTAGTCTGTTTAAATGTTTTTAAATACAAGCAGTGAGATTGCTGTAACCATAAATTTAGAAATAATGATGATCATGTTTTGTAAGGAAAGGTCAAAGGAAGCGATGTGAAAAGAAATGGAGTGAAAAAAGTTGCACTGAAACTAATTCATTTAGAAGAGACATTCAGTAACACAGCCGTTTGTACAGTTTATTAATTCAGGGAATATATATTTCAATATAACTTCATTTCAGTTACTTGTAAAAGTGACTCATTGTTAATATGCAGTAGCCTTAGCGTTGAATATACCACTTTATCCCGAGATCTTCTGATTTGAGTGTGAGTTCAAGGATATTTTATGTACTTTGATATCCTTTATAACATTTTAAATTTTTTAACTTTCTCATGACTGTTTTCCTCTTCTATTCCCTCTGAAAAAGATTATCTGTCTACTTTCATCCTTTGCACCCTGTTTTTTGAAGCTTTCATTTCATTACTAAATGTAGCAGGATCCTCTAAGCTATCCTGGTACGGCTTCTCAACTTTATTCATCTCCCCCGTTCTTGTCAATGTTTGTGTCTTCACCAACTCTTCAACCCCCTCAGACTCTTGGCTGTAGCCAATCACACACCTTAGGTGTGTAGATTAGCTGTGCTGCGCTGCACTGTGAACACAGTAGTGGGCTGGCTGCAAGCATTTAAAATGCAAATAGGGCAACACTGGGACCGGCTCCGGCAGTCTCTCACCTGCTGTGGCTGAGTGTGTCTGCGTGTATGTATGTGTGTGTGTGTGTGTGTGTGTGCGTGTGTGTGTGTGTGTGCAGGTGTGAATGTGTGTGTACTGGCAGGGGAAAGTAGAAAGAGCTGAAGAATGAAGCCAGCTCCTAACTAAATTGAATTCAGCATGTTTGCAAAGGTTTGTGGCCAAAATGAATACTCAAAAATACTTTTTTACGCAACAAATCCCGTGTCTTTGGTTTTTCCACAAGTTCCTTCACCTGGTTTGGACACAAAGTAATAAAAAGACCTGTACTTGCAGTCAGTACATTATTATTTGTTCGTATTGCTATTTTCAACAGCAGTCTACTCAGCTTTTTGAATATCCCAAATTGAATTTTTTGCAGAATTACAGCTAGCCTGAATTTACTGAAAGGGAAATGTTCAGATTGTCATTTAACTGTATTCTTGACCCTGACATTGTCCAATGAAATGATGCACATTCTTCATAGACTGTGAAGGAAATGTGACTCCAAAGGGAGCACATATTATCTTTAAGTGTAACACAAGGTTATACTAAAGTTAGCTTATTCTCCCCACAACTGTAAGTGTGTGTATCACTGCAAACTCAGTAACCAAGTTTGTTATCTTTTCATTTATTACAGACCTGAACACAGTGTTGCAAAAAGAAAACAATAAGAAACACAACAAATGACAATTAATGCTGATTTCAGTAAATACATCTTCTGCAAAATTATACATCTGATAGAGAAACAGGAAATACATACTGTCAGATGTAAGTAAATGTACTGAGGTAGACTGTTCAAAATCATGTAACAACAACAAGCTGAAATGCAAAATGAGTCAAAGTGGAAAATAACTGTTGGGTTCCCAAGTGCCAACTAGAATTAAAGTACAGGGATTTGGTGTGGAGCATATGACTGTATAGTAAATATATGGCGATATCACATTTGGAGCTCACAAACAAAGAAAAGATACACTGCAATTTACATTTTGGACGACGGACTATTTGTATTGGACACAGGCGTATTCAGTGGACTCACACTCATGGACCAGCAGTCTACCAGAACCAACGGGTAGAGAAACTTCAGCATAGATCACATCGTCTGCATTCGTAACCTAAAGACACACCCACACACATTCTAATTAACTTTCAAAAATGGACAAAAGCACAAAAATGATTTTGTTCTGTATGATCTTGAAAGAGAAACGACTTACATTGTTGGTACTGGCCGTGTAACAAGACTCATCAGGCAGCTGGTTTCCTAAAATAAAGATACAAATGCACAAATTCATATATTACAGCATTACACTACAGTGACATATAATAACATGTTCAGTGCTGAGATGACGGGTGTGGATTTCTCAAGCTTCTAACAGATCTATACAGTATATATATATATATATATATATATATATATATATATATATATATGGGACTGATTAGAAGTACCTGATAAGTACACACTGATAGGTATAATGTGCGGAACAGCATATGGAACAGAACTTGTGGGATATTAGCACATCTCACATAAGTGATTGCCTCAAAGACCACACAGTGCAGTTGTGCAAGCTGACTGAAAGAAGCTGTGTACATGTAGCCTATAGGTCTGTGTACAGGTCTGTGACAATTTTCCATTTCAACAGACCCTTCTCTATAGGTTCAGGAAGTGTAGAAGAACCTACTTGTTCTTCTTCTGTTCACAACAAATGCAGCAACCAGTGCTGTCAAAGCCACACATCCCACCACCCCTACAGCGGCGCTGATCGCATCCTGGTTGCGACCTGAAAATGCAGATTAGAGTAATTTTACAAAAATTGTCTTTTGAATGGCTGAAACAAGTCCTCCATATTTAACCTATAAGTTTAAGAGTTAGATGAGTTGGATACCACTCTCACGCTAAATATGAAGCTACAGCCAGCAACCAGTTAGCAGAGCTATCCCTGTAAACAAGGGTAAATATCTAACTTGGTTCTGTCAGGTAACAAAATCATCTACCATCCTATAAAGCCGACAGGTTGGCATGTAATATGTTTAAGTTGTTTTAAAACCTAAATGTAAAACTGAAAGGTTGTAGTTTTATGGGGGGTTATGTGCAGGAGTATTTCTTGGCCAGCTGCATGGATTTCCTGAAGTCTTTCTGTTTATTTTCCACAGTAATATGGGTAACCCTGAATGTAATGATAAAGAATTAGCTGTAACATTATGAAAATTGCTTCCCTTTTGCTGTCTTGGTGGGATTATTGATTTACACATGCAGGTTTTTTTTTTTTTTTTGTTATTTAAGGCATCTTTACAACAAGTACATTTGTATATGAGTGGCAATATAAGAATAAAACTGTACCTTGATTTTCAGGTTCTAGTTCTATGATGAATCCTCTTCCCCTCCCTTTGAGAGATACAAAGAAAATAGCTTTTGTCATTATTAATTCTTTGCATTCTAGAAGAATAATGGTTAGGATCAGTTGTACAGACCTGGGACTCTGACCCATAACTCTGCTGAAGTCTGAACTTGTTCATCCACAGTCGCCTGGCATCTAAACTTCTTGTCTTCAGGACTTTGAAAGGTGACAGTCAGAGTCACATCACAAAGAGACTTCTGTTTAATCTGATGCTGTGAGTTCTCTTGTATCTCAGCACCGGATTCATCCACCCACGCCAGGCTGACCTGTTGTAGCTGAGTATGGCAGTGTCTCTGCTCTATGTAGGTGAGGAGAACACACTGCAGTGACAGCGTTTTGCCAGGCATGAGGTTTAAGTCTGGGGTGGCTGAGGTGGTCAAAAGAAAGATAGATCAATATAAGATATATTTGTTTTATTTATTTATGACATAGATTTCTGCTTTCTCGTGATCAGGTGAAATAAATGATGTATCATCCCACACAGCAATAAGACTTTAGTCTTGACAGTACTCACTTTTGTGAGGAGAGAAGACATCTGGCTTTTGGTGGCAGTGATGACGTCCAACATCCTCCGTTGTGAGATCTTTGATATGCAGAGTGCATTTTGAGTCCTCATACTCTGAATTAGCTGTCAGGATCTCTCCATTAGTGACTACGGCAATTGGACTTGTTTCACTTTCAGCAAAGTGCCATATATGAAAGCAGACTAAATCATCTTCACATGGAAATGTAATATCATAACGCTGTTCAAATATCAGACCATCTTCTCCATTTACACCTGAAGAAAGAAGATAAATAGGGTGTACATTCAAGATAAGATTATGAAACTAAGATCATGAGATAAGATTGTGTAGACGTTTCACTTACCTGTTCTGATAAAAGAGAACAGCAGCAGCCCTATTGCAATGTGAACGATTCCAGCCATCTTCTGTACAAATACGTTTCACTGTGAAAAGGTACACTTGCTGTTGTTACCATTAGCGTTAGTCAACAGAAGTGTCATTTCCTGCATTTGTCAACATCCTTAACTTGCTGATGTGGAAAACCTCAACCACTGTTGGTCTGACTGTGGATCTGAGTATAGGGTTTCCTCCAGGTATGACAGAAAAGGCCTGTACAAACAATAGCTGTTTTAAGTCAGGGTTTAGTTTTGCAGAAGAAGAAGAAAAATAACAAGATATATATATATATATATATATATATATATATATATATATATATATATGTTATACAGAGAATCGCAGGCTTAGCATTGATGATTTATTAATGATGTCTAATTGAAAACTCTTCTGACCTTCAACTGTGCTGATTCGTATTCTGTCCGCAAACCATATTTTAAGGTTCACAGACGACTGTTTTTCACAAGATCTGTAAAGAAGTTTATTGATGAGGACAGACTGTTTTCTCTCCTGTCAGTCCTGTGAGGAGAGATTACCTTACACAGAATTAAAAATGAAGGATATAAACAGATGAAGGAGGGTTTTGAGTAAATAGGAGATTCCAATGGTAGATGTGCAATCATGTGTGAGACTTTGATTGTAAGTTTGGTGGATTTAGAATACAGACAGCTCATCTTATGTTTAGTGGATGTTTAAATCATTCCAACATAGGACTGAGCAGCAGCAGAACTCACTGACAACAGATTTAATTTTCAAATACTGTAAACTATCCACAAGCTACAGTACAGTAAAAACCCCTAGCGACGTTGTTGTAGTTACCACTGCCCAGCAGCAGATGGCGCCTTGGTTAAAGCTCTGCTGCTTATGTGACAATATTTTCCAGTGGATCTTCTCTGGACAAGTGATTATGTCTTTTTCGCTTCAACTAAAAGCTGCACTCAGAGCTGCTTGTAACCTTTTCTACTCTGCTATCTTCAAAAGCTGTTTAAAGACATTCAAAAGCTTCCAGCAGCGTGTTTGAAAATGCAATATTAATTTCATAGAACTAAGTGGCGCCTCGGTGTTGGTTCTATTTTGTGCTGCAACCAGCTTCCTATCAAAGTATTACACCAAAGAGAACTCTTACTCATGTAATCATAAGTAAATGCCAAGTTTAATTTATAAAACCTGATTTCTCCCTAATGTATCTCACAAATTATAAATGATTTACAGTTTCCCCATTTGTGGAAGACAGGATGTTAACTCTTCTAGACTCACGCATTTTTCATTATTTTTGAAGGCATATTCTGCCAGGATACAGATTAAGAGATTTTGAAGTTAAGAAAATGGGTCCTAAAGGAGTATAATCTACCAATTACTGTATAAACTCAGTAAAGACTCAAAAGACTAATTTTAGACATTGTGCTCGGCAGTGTTAAATCATCTGTTGTCTTCAGGTGCTATCTGATTGGACCATTCAGCCATAATGATCAACAATTTAATCACATAAAGGTTCAGTTTATGATACAGTGTTTTAATGTGTGTGTGGTTTACTCAACAGATGTACAGCTTGACACAGATCAGTGAGAGCAGCGCTGGATGCTTTGGGACACGCCTACTGGGTGTTAACAGACATGTTGAATGCTCAAACAATCAGGTATATTAATAAGTCAGTGTGTAAACCTTGAGACTCACACACCCTGTTAACACCACGTAAGATGCTGCGTCATCCCTGATTGACAATAGCAACCACATTTTGTCATGCCTAGATCAGGGATTGTGTGTTACTATAATAGTTGCTGTGCATCTCTGTATCTCACCAAGTACTTGCTCAGTAAAACCTCATCAGGCCTCATCAGTTGACCCTGTTCACCACAGAAACATTAGTATATTTTCCAAAGGGAGGGGTGTATGGATGTCATTATTTGTTAATTATGGGGACTATTGTCATTACCCAAGTGTAGAGAGGGTTGGATAGCAAACAAACAAACAGCTGCTGAGTTGATTTTTATTTACCCATTTGTACAGATCCTCAGTGATAAATCTAGACAAATAGGTTATGTATGACTATGTTACAAAAATATCACATCTCAGTTTTTCAGTTAAAACCTCTTCAGTGTAATAGTGGACTCAAACTGATCAAATACAGACTTTAAAAACTGCTCAAACTCTGACATTCGGGGAACTATTTTAGACTGAAAAATATATGTTATGTATGTATACAGAATATATATATATATATATATATATATATTTACATTACTACTTCAAAACAATCTCACATGAATACAGTTACATCCTGTACATATTGCATCTCTCACATCAGCTGGACTAAATATTAGCTGTCAAATGGCAATCACCAAGTTTCAGACGTAATCTAACTTACAGGCGGAGATAACAGTTACTGTTCAAGAGGTGGAGTTATTGATTAAACACAAGCAGCTTTAAATGACACATCAAATATCCCTTTGCACTTTTCCCACGTTCATTTCTCATCGTCCCCCACCATTAAAACCAGAATACAAACATGGACACTTTCAAGTTTGTCAGCAGCATTGAACAATTCAAACTAGTGACACCTAAATTTAAACAACAGGATTCCAAGAAATCAACTCAGTGACTACAGGTGTGATACAGTCAACATACTGAGGGTTTTAGTGCATCTGTGAATTCCTGTTCTCAGCACAGCCTTCCACAGACTCCTTCCGTCTTCCTACACAAATGACAGTAGTTTGATTTGTTGCTAGTTCTACAACTTCAGACAGAGCGCAAAAAAGCATTCAGGGGAACAGATTGTCAGTCGTACTGACCATTTACAGCTGTAATGGGAACATCAGCATTTGTACGAGAGAAACTCTGATTGCTTCACAGCAAGAAATTCAACATTCAGGCATAAAATACAGACAAAATCATTGGATACTGACCACACACATGCAGAAAGCAAATCCCACTCATTAACAATACAGGTACATTATTAAGCCAATATAGTAATTTCAAAAATAAATAAGTCGAATTAAAGCCCCAATCCAGATTAGGTACAGTATATGGTACACACAAATACATATTTTTTTTGACAAGTTTAGGAAAATAATACCTTCAAAATCTTCCACAGGGACACAAAAAAAAGAAAAAAGTCTGCATTACAAACTGGAGGTCTGAACGTTTTTTTTTTTTTTTTTTGCTAAAGCCATGTTGGCATTTTTTCATACTGCAGGTTGTAGAATATCAAATTATTCAAGCTTCCCCAACCAGAATGCACTTCAAATTATCACAGACTGCAACAAATCCCATACACTGCCCCCTGGGGGAACATTAGGGGTTTCACATTCCCATTTTACAAGAAGTTAAATATAAACAGAATCAAACGGATGAGCGCCATCCTAAATATTGGGACATTTGTTGGTCCCTAAGTTTAATAGTTTAGTAGGGATTCCCCTATGAAAATAGTTGGACAAGTACAGTGCCACATATAGCGTTCCACCCCTGGTTCAGGCCTTTAATACAGTAGTAAAGTTAGAATGACAATGATAAAACTTCACATTACTTGGTAAAACACAACATGCCAGACAGATACCAAACAAGACATAAAAGATAGTGCCATCTACAATCCTGACTCACACACAGACACTTTGTATTCGGTCCCTGAAGAGCCCATCAGACCAGTGGATTTTTGCTGACAATGGATACTGACGTGCTGTGTGGACTAATAGTGCTTTAGTGATGATGAGATTATAGCTGCAATGTGGGGTTTTTTTGGTTTGAAAGCAGACACAGGTTCTAAGTTCTGCGCACTTATTAAATGCTACATTCCATCTCTCTTGCTTGCTCTTCAGAGGATTCAGTTCAGGTACAAACAGATGCTTCAACTTCCTTACACAAAATAAAAAGTATTCATATTATAAGGCAGGAAAAATGTTTCACACAAACATACATGTAAAAAGAAATTAATCAAAATCAATTATATCACACACACACACACACACACACACACACACAGGTGCAGTTAAACACTGCACATTTCAAGATATATGTAATAGAGAGAGACAACTTCTAGTGTCTACAGTGTACACACTACCTAGCCACACTCAGTTTTGTGGCTCAGTAACAAGTCTAGTAAGTGAGGGTTTCTCACAGATAAAAGCTGCTGTTAAAAACTTTCATAAATCTCAAAGCTCCAATTTTCCCATCACATTATTAGAGGTAACACCATCTTTACAAGTCTGGATCTTCAGAGGCAAATCTGAAACTTAAAATGATCGCAAAATATAAATATGTTTGTCCTTTGTTTACTTTTTGACATGAAAGTTTATATAAACCAGGTATTTTCTGACTCAAAATAGGGAATGACTGCTCTGACAGTAATAAAGGGTTTGTTTGTATATTTTGTCTTCCCTTGCTCTTGTAAAGTGCCCAGGTTGAGGGTGAGACCTCTGTGCTGTCACAGGCTGGAGGGTTGGGCCTGCGGCTGGATCTGCGTGTGGTGGTTTGGCTGAGCCTGCTCACAGTCTTTAGGTCCTTCCTCCACCCCCCGAGCGTACATGAGGACGAGGGTGACAGTGGCAAAAGTAGCTGCGTTCACGGGGAAGGCTCGTAGCAGGGTGGAGGTGAGGCCTCGCGTGAACACCATGTAGCCCTCTCTTCTGACGCTCTGTCGCACGCAGTCAGCAATGCTGCTGTACTGGTGGACTCCACCCACACCATCCGCCTGCAGCCGCGATTTGATCACATCCACAGGATAGGTGGAAAGCCAGGAGGCGATGCCAGCCATGCCCCCGGCGAACAGCAGTTTGAGGATCATGTAGCGGTCGTCTGGCTCACAGCCAAGGCTGCGCGTCAGCACGTCATAGGTCAGGAAATATACTCCGAAGCCAGGTGTCTCACGGATTAGCGTGGTCACCATGCCTCTGTTAATGCCCCGCAGACCCTCCCGATTGTAGATGCGTGCCAAGCAGTCCAGGGAGTTCTTATACAGCTTCCTAGAGGACTTCTTCTCTCCGGTGCCCTGCATTTGCATGCGGGTTTTAGCAAGTTCCATTGGGCAGCAGATTACACACTGGATGGCACCTGCTGCCGCACCAGCAAGGAACTGGTTTGTGGGGGTGTCGTGTCCCAGCTTCCGCATGGCGTTTCCCTGAACACCAAACACTATAGCGTTGATGAATGTAAGGCCCATCATGGGGGATCCAATGCCTTTATACAAACCAAATACCTGTAAGAGGGTCAGAGACATCAAATAAGACAAAGTGTGTTAACAGATCACTGAAAGCTTTCATTTTAGTCTCATTTCAACTCGACTAAAATAACTGTCTTCTTTATCTTTGTCTTCCATTTTTTAAGACTTACTTTGACTTGCTATCCTATTAGTTAGTCATTAATCACAATTTGTGCTTTTGATAAGATAATAAGATATTATGACCTCCATTTTATTTTTGTTGTATACAGTATAAGACCAGCCTTATCAGTTACTTTAGCTTTTCAGGACAGCCATTTTTGTCTTCCTGGCACATTCTATAATACTTCCTGTAATTAAGGCCGGCAGGATAAGTGAAATGTGTAAAATGTGAAATGCCCTGAGGCTACTTTAATAATGATCCTAGAGACAGGTTCTCCTTCAGTTGTTCAGAAGCTTTAAATACAAAAAGGCATGTGATGTAAATGAGATTTTTAAATACACTACTCAGGCTGAGAATAGCTCTCCTGATCGCTTTGGGAGAAAATGCGACAATCAAAGAAAAAACAAACAAGATGATTCAGATCAACAGGGGGACAAATAACCACACCGAAGAAATCTGACCCAATTTAATAAACTACACATATCCATCTCTCAAAGTGTCCCCCACTTTTGCTTCACAACCAAAGGTGTCCAATTATATTTGCCAAGAGGGAAAAAGTGACATAACTTTACTGTTTTCTTCAGTGTCCCAAATTCAATTTTCAACTGTCCCAGACTTCATAACCACTGTCCCAAACTTAAGTATTTTTTCATTGTACGTGATGAATATAGTTTAATAACTTGCATTACTTTACTCACTGTGGTCCGCTGTAGAAGCTCTGCTAGTTGTAAAATAATATTTAAGTTAAATATTCTATTTAACACGTGAAGTAATTTAACATGTACATTGTCCAATTCCTTTGAAATTGCTGAGAGCTTCTTCTCTCTTTTTTTTTTTTTTTTTTCAAATGTCCAAATTCTGATTTCAACTTCTCAAATGTGAAATTTTCGAATTTTTTGAATTGTGGACAAAACAATACATCCTCGGGCTTGTGAAACAGTGCTCAATATTTCTTACTATTTTCTGACATTTTATGGAGCAAACATCTATTCTAGAAAATGATGACAACAGATTAATTGATAATGGCAATAATCGTTCATTTCAGCCCCACATTAGATTTATATGGGAAATAAATCCAACATACCGTTTCCTGCCTTATGATGGACTGGAAGCAGTGATAGGTCCCACGGTACAGAGGCCTGTCAACACTCTGGACCTGGAGTCTCACCTGGAAAAGAAAAACTCAGTTAAACCAATCCGTTCATCAGCTATCTACAATGCACAGTGATGATGTGGATAAAGGATTAAACAATAAATAAAATAAATAAATAAACATTCAATAAAAACACAGATATCTGTTGAACAGTTATTAAACAAAAATCTGTTTGTAACTTTGTTGGCATTTATAAAGAAAAGTGCAATTAAACAGAGAACTGCCTAAAAGGGTGTATTAAGTTGTTATAAAACTCAGTTATTACATTGTGCCATTAAAAAAAAGAAAAACTTTGCCCACCTTAACTGTGTCAAAAGGGTGTCCAACCAAGACTCCAGCAGCACCTGGAGACAAAGAAAACAACAGTGAGAAAAATACAGTAGACAATGATAATCTTTCTTCATTTGATCTGCCTTGATTGAAAAGTATTTCATTCTATAATAAAAGTGTTTTCTTTGTACCATACAAATTATATGCAGCATTTATATTCAATCACATTTGATTTCAACTCAGAGGGTGACACACTCAACTCATTTTTACCTACTCATAAACCCTCCAAACTTCATAGAGCTGGCAATATTACTCAATGTTATTGTAATACTTAAAAAGAGGACCATGTACCCTCATTGTTACCTTGTTCTTTATCTCATTCTTACAAAAACACAAGCTTTGCATATCAAAGGTTTTCCAGATATCAATGCAAAAATTAACAATAGTTTCCTGGTTACTTTAATAAATCTTGACCCACTGACATGGTATTAGGTCCATTTCACACATTTTTTTTTTACTAGTTGGCTAGTCTTTGATGGCTAAACCTCCTGCTGCTGGCACTGTTGTGTAATTTTAGAGTATACTGCCATCTCCTCCAGGGTAACACTGCCTTATCGAGCCAGAGCCAGCTCACTGGGCATCATCACCCTCTAAAACTTTCTTTAGTGCGCCTTACATAACCAGCACATGTCCATGTTCTGGTGCTTGTTTCAGGCTTCTCACCTGAGTCTATGCTGAAACCTGATAATAGTTCCCAGCCCGACCATAAACAACATTAAGAGTTAACATTGAAAGGAAGGATGTACTTATACTACAATCCCATAAATCAGTCAATTTGTTTACCCTCAGACATCAATACTGACATTTACACTGAGGTATCTATGTCTTTAATATCTGAGGGTGGGTTAGATTATTGTGGCAGTATTACATGAATTTAATATAATTTATTGTTGATTGTTTTGTTTGTTTTAGCAAAAAAGTATTCCATATGTCAATTACAGAATTACACTTTAAGGTAAATATATATATAAATAGTAATAATAATAATAATGAAAATGTGAATTGAATGTCCGACCTGTGTAAACAAACTACAACAAGCTAATCCTACATAAGCACCTGCTTTGTCACCTGACCCATTTGTAAAAAGAGCCAATCAGGAATGAGTCCAAGCTGTAAGCCAGGAAAAGAACACAAGAAGGCCTGTGTTTGACACAATGACACGTGGTCATTGACCTCAATGCACTGGTATGATCTGAGCACAGGAAAAACAAGCAGACAGTTGCATCACAGTTGGTATAAATATATTCTATTCTCTTTTTTTTATGTAAAAGGCTTCAAGAAAAAACCGACACTGGTTTTAGCTAACCTCATTTAAAATTTTGAGCAAACTAGGCCATCCTTAAACAGCATCAACCAGCTTCCCCTTTTACTGTAGATGGTTCCCTGAATTCTGAGAGGGTGGGGAAACCACATGGTCTGTCATGTCAGTCACTGTTAAGTAAAGAAAGCATGGGATTGGTCTGCGCAGGGGTGTGTACTGATTCATGTCATCTGACTATGGTGTGTGTGGAACCTTTAAACAGCCACGCCATACTAGTTTGAAAGCTCGGGTTGCACTTGATGTAGTGTTTGCATACTTTCAGTTCTCAACAGGCTGTACAAGTGACTCAAGGGAGAAATGCAGAAGGCTGGAGCACCCACTGTGAGCAAGCACTTCTCTGAAACAGACTAATATTATCTTCCCATGAATACCTTGTAATACCCTGTAACGCTGGGCACACCAGAGGCCTGGTGGATTAATATTTTGGTTTTGAGTGTCAACATATTCAACCAAACCTTCTGTATGGCGTTTTTGAACAATCACAAAAACTACCACAAATACTATCTGATCAAATTAAGTGATTCATAAACTTTACATGATCATTTTCTGGTTGACCCTGCACCAGAATCAGCCTCTCACAACTTTACACTCACTCAGACACAATCAGGGCCATTTTCATTTACAGTACGAGCTTTAGGATACCGACCTGCACTGGAATTTGGAAAACACAATTGTAATCTTGTGACAGAGTCGCATCACATCAGTAACGGTGCTGCTGGTTTGATACAGTTAAAAGCAAAGGAGGGGCAATTCACCTCGACTAGTTCAAGATATAATGTCTCAAAACAAGGTGGCTCTTCAGCAACTGCACAACGATCTGTACCCAGCTGCCACATGACTTACCTCCGATGCATCCCGCAACGAAGTCCATCACCGCTCCTGCACGTCACCTAAATGCTAAAGTATAAATGCTAACTGGAGAAGGTCTTAACGATTCGATGAAACGTTGTTTTTGTTATCTTTAAAATCGTTTACTTCCGTTTGCCTGTCACTGTCCTCTGCTGTTAATCTAGCTAATGGTGTAATATACACTTTCAGTTAGCGTCTATGGTAGCTAACACTAGCTAGCTAGTTACGACTTCCCCTTCAAGACCCTGACAATTAAAGAATTGTAACACTTTTACTTTGTCTTGCCGGTTACTTTACTTTACTATTTAGTCTAATAAAACTGTTCTGTTGACCTACACGACCTCCATTAACCGGTGTGTCGTTTACAGTCAATGCCGACCCCCTGTCCGCTGTCTCTATCAAGGAGGTTTATTTCTGTAGCAAGCAAGCTAGCGTCGCAGGAAGTAAATACTAGGGGGCGGGGAATACCGGTGTCGGTAGAGTTTCTATCCAATCAGAGCAGAGATTTAACGCCGACACCCCGCTTCAGGCGTAATCCTCGTCTCTCATTGGCTGCGTGTCGCAAAGGCTCCCAATGTTGAAATGCGTCATCAGTGCCGTGTGATGTTTTGCTTTTGAGTTGACTGTCCATAGTGTCACTATTATACTATATCCTTTGTGTTTAATGAGTTTATTCAGAGCTATTTTTATTAATCGTGCAGCTTCAAGAGGGTCATATGCTATTTGGCACTACAGAGTTCACCGCTACTTTAAAAAAAAGTTCTTAAAAGGTGAAGTTTTAAAATGATAATAATAATAATAATAATTTGAAATCATCAATCAATCATTTTTTTTCATATACCATTGACAATATTATATATATATATATATATATATATATATATATATATATATATATATGGTATAAAGGCTACACACATTTGCCTACTCTACCCGTTTCGATACACTGACACATTCGGCTATCTCCGGCTGAAGCCGTAACCAATCCTTCCGCTCGCCGCTGTTTGGCTGGCGGTAAGACACGCCTCTGTAACTCATCATGTAACAGCAACACACTCAAGGTTACTGCCGTATTACGGCACATGCCAGAGGAAGAATGGACTCACATCTGACGAATATCGGTCGGCCAGTCACCATCTGACAGGATGCATATCGTTGATTTTGTGTCTGGATCATTGGCAGGTAACAGCTAACGCTAACATAGTTCGTTTCTCATTTAGCGTTTAGTGTTTGCTAACGAGCTAGCTACTGTATGTGCATGGGGAGATTACAGTATGACAGAAAACTGAGAAAACGAGATTAAATCCAACGTTAACTTGTATGTGACTATGATATGTTAGCTGTTATTACACTGTGAGAACAAGGTTGGGCGCTTTCATTGGCAACTTGTGCAATTAAATGCAGTGTTTTTAAATAATACGTGTGCTTATCTGTCATATCTACTCTCAACCAGTTTAATATGTCTGATCATTTTAGTGAGGAAATACCTTCAGGAAGTTCACTATCATCTGAAAAGATACTACATTTCAGAAAATTGTGAAAACATGGTGAGACTGAATAAAGTGACACACAAGTGTGTGTCAAGTAAGGAGATCTCAAAGAATGCAAGGCACAGATCAACTGTTTTATCATTGAATGAGCCCTTAATTTGTTTTATATATATATACAACGTGTCCAGAATAATCAAGTCACATCTCATATTTCTCAGCTCAAAATCAGCACATAAGAAACAAATCATCACATTAACCTTCCTGTCAGGGGTTGCAGATAAAGCCCGTAAACCTTGAGCATCCCTGTTTCTCTGTTGTGTCCTTGATGCTCTCTTTTCTCTGGAAACACACAGGAGCATGTGGAGTTGCAGTGGGTTACCCTCTGGACACTCTGAAGGTACAGGAAGTGGCATGTGTATCTGAAACAGTCAAAGACAGCTATATAACAAATGGATATCATTTTTACATCACGTTCTTTATCTTTTCTAGGTCCGGATCCAAACCCAGAAACAGTTCACTGGAATATGGCAGTGTGCAGTAGCGACATTTTCAAAAGAAGGGGTCAGTGGAACGTCATGATATCAGGGTTTTTTTTTTATGTCCAAATGTGACCAATCCAGGGAGTCAGGAGGATAATGTTGGAAATGGAGCCAACATGTTGTGAAATGTGACACTGCTGGTTAGATTATAATGTCAAAGGTGTTAACAACACATGAATTACACATTTTCAACCACTTTCTTCAAGAAAGAATGATTCAGGGTATCATCACATCATCAGTGTAGATTTTGACTTTAAAGGAGAATTAGCCTTCATCACAATATAAAGACAATTAAATTGCTGAAAAAAGTGATATGGGTTTATCATCTGGTTTCTCTCACTTGTGTCATCAGGTGCATGGCTTCTTCAAAGGCATGTCCCTACCCGTTACCACAATCTCTATGACTTCCTCAGTGGTGTTTGGCACATACAGGAACTGCCTGCAGTGTCTGATTCAGGCACGAGGAGGTGGTTGTGGGAACACCAAGCTAGACGTATTCCTGGCCGGTATGGCGGGGGGTATAGCTCAGGTAACGGATACAATTATACGCACACTGTTGAATCATGTGCCTCAATAACATGCTTTATTTAACCTGCAGTTTAGACTGTAAATGCAAAGTTTACATCCATGTGCAATTAAAGGGCATGTGTCTCTCCTCATCTGCTTCCAACAGATATCGGTGATGTCTCCAGGTGACATAGTGAAAGTACGTCTGCAGTGTCAGACAGAGTCCAAGCGAGGAAGAACCAACATGCCCAAACCCAAGTACCATGGCCCAGTTCACTGTCTGCTGAGAATTATCAAAGAGGAGGGGTTCATGGGGCTCTACAGAGGATCGCTCCCACTCATGCTTAGAGACGGGCCGTCATACGCCACATACTTCTTGACTTACACAACCATCTGCGAATATCTGACAGATAGTGGCAAGAAAAGACCAGGTGAGTGAAGTCAATATCACAATTTCTTCCAAGAAAATGTTTGTGTGTGTGTGTGTAAGTAAGTTTTATTTTCATATTCTCAGTCACAGCCTGAGTCATGCGATGATTTATGCTGTTAAATTAAATCAACAAAGTCACATTCAGTATCTGATAAACATGTGACAGCACACCATATGTCTTTTTGGTACCTATTGGTGTCAGTAAATCTGAATTTAAAGGTCCAGTGTGTAACATTTAGGAGGATCTATTCGCAGAAATGGAACATAATATTCATAGGTATGTTGTTATTTGTGTATAATCACCTGGATATATGAATTGTTATGATTTTGTTACCTTAGAATGAGCCTTTTAAATCTACAGACGCCAAGGGTCACCTTCCATGAGGTCCGCCATGTTGAATCACCTTGTTTCTACAGTAGCCTAGAAGTTGTTTTTTTTTGCATGTTTTCTTCTTTGCACTTAGAAGGTGACTTTAGGGAGTTTAGATCTGCAACTACACTGCTAGATGCCACTAAATCCTACACCCTGGACCTTTAAAGTGTTGCTGTAAACTAGCTCATATCCTTGAGGTTAGCATAACCATTGCTTCCAACGAGGGACACTACCAGGGGCCAACATGCCAAGGCCAGTATTAGACCACAGTTCATGGGGCAGCTTAAGGACAGATGCCAAAACTCTTTTCTCTTTATGTTGCAAATTCCTTGAGGATTAAAAAAGATAAGTTACCATTTTTAAAGTCACTGTCTTTGCTTTTCCTCCAGATTTAAGTGGTGTGATGCTAGCCGGGGGAATTGCAGGAATGGCAGGTTGGACAATAGGAACACCTATGGATGTGATCAAAGCCCGTCTGCAGATGGATGGAGCTCGGGAGACAAAGCAATACAAGGGTTTCTATCACTGCATCACAGAGACAGTGAGGGTGGAGGGAGTAGGAGTGTTCTTCAGGAGCTTAGGAATTAACTGTCTGCGTGCGTTCCCCGTCAACATGGTGGTGTTTGTTACATACGAGGTTCTCACCGGTTACCTCCAAGCCAGACCTGACAGCACCGACCCTCCTCGTTTAGGGTTTGAGTAGTATTTGCTACCTCCAGTAGTTGGTCTGTCTGTGTTTAAGGCTGATGTTTGTTTTACATTTGACAAAGACATTTGGCAAGAAAATGTCTGATTCATTGCAATATTTCTAATAATTGATTGTTTGCACTTTTATCATGCAAGCCGTCTGTTACATGTATAGTTAGGAATTAGGTAGGGTAATGTTTCCTAATCTACTCAGGAGTATTGTCAGTATGGGCACTGTTGTTACCATAGATTGGACCAGCAACAATCTGGCCACTAGATGGCCCCCTTGGCCAGCATAATATCTTTTTTCTCTTCTTCTGCTCTATAAAAGAATCAAGAAAACCGTCTACAAGACTGGGGTAGTTTTTGACTACAACAAGAAATCTCAACAGTTTTAGACTGTTGTATTAGACTGCAAAAACTTAAGCTATGTATATTCTAATTTCAAGACCTTTTAAGGCCTTGAAATTAGAATTTATGAATAGTCTGCAGCACGCACAATTTACAGCAACAAGCATAATAGCCACCCATGCCCATGCAGCATGTATGCACGTTATAACCTCCATGCCGTCTTATTCCCAGCTCAGGAGCAAAATGGCAAAGCTGGATAATCATAAGTTGATATATTGTAAACCTTGATGAACTGGATTTATGGAAGTACTTTTCTATAGATGGAATTATAATAAGAAACTGGACTCAGTGGATAATCAGGTTCTGGCTAATGTCTGTATATTAGTGTAACAGTCTGCAAAAGTAGCTGCTGTTATGGCTAATGTTGAAGTCCTCAAAGCTAATACATGCACAGTATATCAACTCTTATTCCATCCTACTCTTGAACATTTTAATCACTGCTACTGACACGTGCCGGCATTTTAAGGTCAGAGTTTTGGTTTCGGACTGTAAAATCATGGTTCTTCCACCAGGGAAAACATGTGCGAATAATGTTTCTTGTAATTTATTTAATTATTGTAATGTATGATTATAACATGCTTACTGTGCCTTCCATAATAAAAGTATTTCTACAAATTATAAAATACTTTACTAATCTCTGTTTTATTATTGCACAAATGACATATTTTCAATGATGGAGACTTTAAAATTAAAAACAAGAGGAGAAAGATTTAATAATATAAGCAAGCAGAGAATATTTAGTCACTGATAACTAATTGCAGCTCCTTTAAGATAAGAGATAAGATAAGATATTCCTTTATTTGTCCCACAATGGACAAATAAAACAACTTAAGCTTACGTTGGCTTAAAGTAGCTTTACTGTACTAGTGAAATACTGGAGCTGCACATTTAAAATTTTAATGTACGTGGGTGAGAATCTGACTGAATGATTCAGTTGTATTCAAGACCTCTGCTGATTGGCTCAAGGTAGCGAAAAATGTATATGGCTATCTAGATATAGGAAATATTCATATATAGAGTATATATAGAGTTTTGGCTGCAAATTCATTCCTAATCCATCATAACTCTTACTAGTAAAATAATCACACATGGACATACCTGACATACATACAACATAAATACAACCTGTTTCCAGCTAACGCAGGCACTGTTGTATCCTGTATGATTACACAGATCAAATGTGGTTAGGTGTACTGTGCCGTTCCATTGGGTTGTTCCACCATCTAGTACACATATAGTATTAGTATACATAATAATTCAAGATAGTGGACATTATGTTGTGACATTTACTGTACATATTTGTGCAAAATGCAAAGCTTTTGATTACACAAAAACAAAAAAGAAAGTGTGATATCTACAGGGCTGCGGGGGCATTAGATAGGTTTAGATGTTTACTTGAAAATATAATCCACATCCTCTGTAATCCATAACTAGGATATCTTTTCAATCATAATGAACTCCAATGAGGAACCAAAATCAAAATTCTATGTATATAGAATGTGCAGATTTTAAATGTGAATATTCTTTTCAGCCATTATTTTTAAATCATTAAAATGTTTTGGAGGTTGGAGTTGTTCATAAATAGATTGGATGCATTTAAAAATCTCTCTGTGTGTGAAGGGATGCCTGTATTACAGTAAATAATGGATTACAGCTATAGATCAGTTTACTAGATTTAGTGGAACCTGTTGCTTCTTCAATTCTGAACAAATTGTAAATCCTTTTAAAATTTTAAACGGTCATGCTGAAATTTACTACACTGACTACAAGACTGTTTTGTCTGACTTGGGTTGGAACATGCAGGAACAATTTGTGACACCATTTTTTCCCATGTAGCCTAAAACCTAACTTGTGCCCCATAAACAGACTGCCAGCAAGGAACTACTGGGTACACTTTAATTATTATAACTGATTTTATGCTTTAAATATAGCCGCGAAACCCAGAACATTAATTAAAGATTGGTACCGTAACTGCACAGTACATGAATGTAGCTATATAGGTGTGCTTGAGTTTTAAATTGGAAGTGGTGTGTGCAGAAGAGTCACCCTCTGCCTCGAAATTCCCCAAAATGTCCCTGGGTTACATCCCTTGCAAAAGCTTTTTGAATGTAGCAGCCACTTCTTATATCCCCTTCCAAATTCTGAGGACAAAAAAGCCTTTTGTTTAATGAAATAATTAACTGAATCAGATTATCCCACAAGCAATATCAAGTGGAATCCAGGAAACATTTTAAGAGCTGATTGAGTGAACCGCCACCGCTCTGACCAGCCCACAGCATAAACTCTATCTCTCTCTCTCTCTCTCTCTCTCTCTCTCTCTCTCTCTCTCTCTCTCTCTCCTTCTTTCTTTGGGTTCTTGTTGTGTGCACTCACAATTAAGAACTCCATGTGAGATATGTGTTAGTTAGATTAATGTTTTCATCTGTTCTACATGTGTAATTGGCTCATGTTTATCCCACCATGAGAGCAATAAAGACCTATTATAGAGAACTCAACTGTAATGATTTAATTGCCTTACGAATAACAGATTCACTCAGTGAATGAAGTGGGGTCATGTTGGGTGAGACCCCAGCAGATCTGTTTTCAGCCAGTTCTGCGGCAGACCTTTGGATTACAAGCTGTAAATAATCAGCAACCAAAAAATGAGTGTCTTAGCATAATTAGAGTTTGCTGTCGTGCATCTTCAAATCCACTTATATAGAGTCACAACTTACTCACAGGCAACTTTTTAGACTGCAAAGACTTAAGCATGTTCTCTAACATGAAGAGAAATTAGCTGGTGTTAATTGTTTTTTGTGAAAGTTCAAGGCCTTTGGTCCGCAAGGGTTAATGGTCTGGCTATACATAAAAGACTGCAAGGGTTTGTTGAATCTGTGCCTTTATTTTAGTTCCAAACCAGTGCCAAGCTTCATAAACCAGGCTTTTCCACAATGGCATTCCTGCTGAAATTCTAGGAATTGCCATCAGTACTGTGAAACAAGAAAACCCTTGAAAGTTGCCTTTGTTAGCTGTTTTTAATTAAACCCTGCATGTCTTTTCCCTTTATGCAACAACAGTCCACAATTATGCAAGCATCTAAAGATCTCGATGAATAAACTTATGGACTGGTTGGTCGTGAAAGGACTAGAGTTCAGTGACACCTTTTTGAGTTATTTTTTTTTTATTAAATTCAGGCATATTTGCAATGCTTTAACATTTTCCTGGGAATAAAGATAAACAGCTACACAAGAGGCATAACCTGTTTATAGTAATTGTGTACAGTGATCAAAAAAGATCTGTTTGTGACCTTGACTGTTACATTTTTGGATGATCTTCAGACAGTTTAAATAACAAGATAGTATTACTTCTCTTACACAAAGCAGATCATACAACAGATTATTATCCCAGTTTTTAATATTCTGTTGGTGACATTTTAATAAGCAAATCAGTGGGATGAGCTCAAGCACATGACTCAGATCAGAAGCCTGTCTTTAGGCTGTATGACAGTACATGTTTCTGTGTTGTTCTGTCTTATATATTCATGTATCATATAGAATTCTGGTTTATACTCTCATCAAAAGGCAGTAATTATTAAGGGGCACATACTGTGCACAGTTGTGTAAAATAATAAAATTCAATCAAGATAATTGTTTCAAAACAAAATTTTAGGAACTTTCGATGGCTGTCCGAAGCAGTGCTGAAACACATGATAAATCAACCAGCAGGGTTTGCGTGGGTGAGTCATTAAATGATGGGTGTTCACATGATGTTTGGAAAGCTTCATTTTGTTGTCAGAATCGGTCCTCGGTAACTACCACTTGGGCCCCCTTTCACCAATTGCTGTTTGGGCTATTTTGGGAGCTCTGCGCTCCCCTGTTAGTGACGTGTGCTGCTGGGTAAATTTGCAGCTCCGGCGGCCTGGGCCTGCAACCTCAGATGGCATCAATCGGGAGAACATGGAGGGGTGGGAGGGATGAGAAGGAAGGGTAAGATGCTTGAACGAGAGGAGGGGGAGGGGAAGGGGGAGACTGGACAGGAAACATTCAAAATAACTATTATAAGATAATGTAAATAGGGTTGGAATAAGAAGAGATGATGCTCAAAATGGCAAAAAAAAAAAAAGAAAAGAAACAACCTAAAATAAACTAATCTTAATACAAATATTCAGGAAAACAAAGGTCTTTTTAAGTGAATCGGAATTTGAAAAGGTAAATCTGCATCCGATGAGACAGATGAAGGATGCATTCATGAGAAAAAATTAACTCTGATGACTAACAAGTGTAGGGAAGAGTGGTGAGGATGGTGATGATAGCGCTGGAGGATTGGGGGCGCTATTGTACTTCATACACAACTGTGGAAAAGGGAAGGAGGAAAGGACATACTGAATAAATCTTTTTGAAGCTCAGTGAAAATTATGCCTTAAAAAGCTGTGCTTGGTAATGTGTTTGTGTTTCACTTGTTTTGTTTCTTGCATGGAAGATTGTCTAAGGACAAGCAGAATTGATTTTAAATGGAAATGCTTTCAGTATTCAGTTGCAGAAAAAGAACACAAAGAAATGATCATTGTCCATCGCTGGTACCTGAAGTAATTCTTTTTGTAATTTCTTCCAGTACAGTAGTTAAGGTTTATTTATTTGGGAAGTCTGTGTGAGATCAGTATTAGCCATCACATACACTTAGAGACCCAATGATAAGCATTTGATAAAAGCAATTAAAACTTTTCTTGCTGTAATTACTTTAAAGATCCATTACAACTCCAGTTGCATACTACTCACGTTCATATGTATCTTAGTAGTAGTTATTATGTATCTGCTGTCATAGTTACTTGCATCTAATTAAGTTGTAAAATTAAGTTTGATACCAAATGCAGGTGCTCTCTTGACATTCTCCCTCCTCGATTATTTTAAGGAAGTTTTTAACACTATCTCACGTCTCTCCTTTTATACTAAGCTTCTTAAATTACTCCCTTTCCTCTGGTACTTTACCCTGTTATTAGTGCTAGTGCTCTTCATCAGCCCCTGCTAAAGAAACCTGGACTCAATCAAATTATTTTAACAATTTTAGACCTATGTCTAAGCTTCAGTCCTGGAGAAGATTGTTGCAAATCAACTTTTAGCTTTTATGAACAGTTATTCAGTGTTTGAATCTTTTCAATCAGCATTTAGAGCTCATCACAGTACGGAAACTGCTCTCCTCAAAGTAATGAATTATCTGTTTTTAGCTGCTGACGCTGGACGTGCCTCTGTTTTAGTTCTTTTAGATCTCAGTGCGGCGTTTGACACTATTGATCACAACATCCTCATGTCCCGTCTGGAGAACTGGGTCGGCATCAGTGGCACGGCCCTTGAATGGTTTAAGTCACACCTCACTGACAGGACTTTCTCTGTTGGTATTGGAGAGTCCTGGTTTTCAACCTCTACGTTGCATTGTGGGGTTCGGTGCTTGGCCTGATTTTATTTACCATTTACATGCTGCCATTAGGATATGTCATTAGATCACACAAAATGTATTTCCATTTTTATGCAGACGACACCCGGATCTACCTCAGTTGTGACCCCAATAACTTAAATGAAATTCATTCTCTCAACTGTATCAAGGACATCCACAAATGGATAGCCCAAAACTTCCTTCAACTAAACTCTAGAA